CGTCTAGAACGTTCTATACGCAGTCTACGCAAGCGTCAGACTTCTTTGCGAGCCAAATGTATCACTACCCACGGTATGGGACGTATGGCGCCTTGTAGACGTCATTCTGAAATCAATATCTATCCTGTATCGACATCTACATGCATGTATCTGATATCTACTGATAGCCACAGGCTGTGGCTACAGTGTCTGAAGGGCTCCATGCATGTTCCGTCGTCGGCGTCGTGGAAATGGGCGTTCAAGCCACCATAGACGGCGCGGCGTCTCCTTGCATTAGGCTCGTATGTATCACGAATAGGCGTCTGAATAGGAAAGCGTGCCTACTATACTAGGCGTGTACAGGTGGGCTCTAGTAAAAACACGAGTGGTCGGAAGTACTAGTTGTTATTAATGATCACTGCCATCTCAGCTTGGGCGCGCCAGGGGATACAGGGTCAACTCAGGATCACCGGCCGCGTCTCCACCTCCAGAGCGCGGATCATGTCTCAGATATTCAGGGTAATAGGGTGCAAGGATGCCATGGGAGAGAAGGTAAAACTGCTGGGTCCATTTGTACCTTCCTCCCTCCACGCTCCGCGTTCTCTCATCGCCTCGTCGCGACTCACAACTGCTTTGCATTGCTCTCTCTTTCATCGCCATCGCCATCGCCATCGCCATCACGATCGCTGTTTTCCTCGTCGAGTGCACGCCAAAGACACTCGGACGACGCATGCCATACGCCACTTGCGCCACTCGCTACGCACCAACGCTCTTGAACTGCTTGGACCCCGATCAAGGATCAGGGAGACCCTGGACTACAATCGCTGCCATCTGACACCTCGACAATCCCCCCGGCCCCCCTTCCTTCCTTCCTTCCCTCTTTCCTCCATCTCTCCTCTTCTTCTTCTTCGTCTTGTTCATCATCATCATCATCATCTCTGTCGCTCTCTCTCCATCTCTCTTGTCACAACAACAACAACAACAATCCATCGCCTGATCAACAACACCGCCTCCTCTCCATCTCCTCCCCCCCCCCTCCCCCCCACCCTCCCCCTCCGATCCTTGTTCATCTCTCCCCCCAGCCCCTTCAGCACACATGGCAGCCGCCTCCGGCTCCAACGCGCCCATCATCAGCGACGCCCTCGTTGCTTGGCCACCACCTCCCTCCACAGCCCGCTTCGCTGCCGCATCTCCTCCCCAGACCGCTCGCAACTCCCGCTTCGGCCTCGCGTCACCTCCAACAAACAGCTTCCCTACCTTTGCTGACATCCCCCTCCACCTCCCAGGCTATGCTCCCTCTCCCTCTTCCTCCCACGACAATGCCCCGCCCAGTCCAAAAGGCAAAGGCCGCGCACCCCTCTCCATCGATGTCGAGGTAAACTACGACGACGAGCCCCGCAGGCTAGAGTCCGGCGCGCCGCGGCGCCCACTGACCCCCGCGCAGCTTGGCCGCATTGCCCAGTCCTTCGGTATCATCGCGCCCAACGGCCTGCGCGTGGCCGACGCACCTCCCGCGCGCACAGCGCGACCACGCTCCCCGAATGCTGGGCATCCCTCCCACTTGTCCATCCCCACACAGAACCTCGTCGCTGTTGTGCCTCCCGCGAGCTTGCTTCCGCCGGATGACACTCTGAGTCCCGCAGAGGAACGCGAGCGGACGAGGCGATTCAGGCGGGGAAGGTTGCTGCCATTGCAGCCCACCCTCAGTGGCATGCTCGCGGTCATTGCGCGCGAGTTCGGCCTGCCATCCACGCTGGGCCTCTTCCTTTATCTCGGCTCCAACGGTGGGAGCGGGCGGGAACGACTCCTCGGATCCCGGAGCTCAGAGACGAGTGACGATGACGACTCCGGCCCCCTCATTACCTCAGCAACCTGGCCCAGCCTCTTTGCACATGTCCCCAGATCATCGTCGCCTCAGACAACACCATCAGCAACCCCGCGCAGGCTCAAGCGTTCATTTGGCATGTCGACGCCAATGACTGCCTCCCCACTGACCACCGTGGGCGACAGCATAGCGCGCGGACCTTCCCCGGGCGCTGATAAGCAGCAGGAGAACGCGATTGACGAGCCCTCAACCTTCCGCACGTCGCAGGGGTCGTCTTCCGCTTCGTCCTTCTCCCCTCGCACTCCCGGCTCCATCCACTCCGCAGCGTCAACCGCGCCGGTCTTTGGGACGATCGAGTTGGCCGTCGATCCGAACGAGGCGCGTTGGCTCGGCGCATGGCTCAAGGCTGGAGGGCCCATCCGCCGGCGTGCCGCTTCCGACTCGGCTGCAGACCACCCCACGCTCGAGCGCCGCCTGAGCTCGACCGCATCACAAGGCAGCTCTCATGCCTCTGGGAGCCTGCTCGGAATACGCAACCTCCACCTGGTCGAGAGATTGAAGGACGAGCGCCCAAAGTTCCTGCGCGACATGGAAGAGCGGGAACGAGCTCTCGAGCGCGCGCGAGAAGCAGAGCGGGAAGCCAAAGCCCTCGCGGCGATCGCAGCACAACGCGTCGCCGAGATGGAAGCGCTGCGGCGACAAGCGGAGGAGGCTCGCGCGGCCGACGAGGCAAGACTCCGCGCCGAGATGGAGGCCGAAGCCGAGGCGGAAGAGGAACGGCGACGAGCCGAAATGCAGGCTCAAGCCGCTGCTGAGGAGGAACGGCGACGCGCCGAGGCCGAAGCTCAAACCGCCGCGGAGGAGGAGCGCCAGCGTCTCGTTGAGGCCGAGGTGCAACGGCGCCTGGCGGAGCAGCTCGCCGTCGAGGCGGAGCGGCGGCGCCTGGCCGAGGAGAAGGCGAACGAGGAAGAACGCGAGCGGAGATTAGCCGAGCAGGCCGCCGAGGAGGAGCGCCGCCGGCTGGCCGTCGAGAAGGCGGTGGAGGAGGAGCGGAGACGGGCCGCTGAAGCGGCTGCCGCCGCGGCCGCTGCTGCCGCTGCCGCTGCTGCCGTTGCTGCTGCCGCCGTCGCCACGGAACAACGACGGCGCGAGGAAGCCGAAGCCGCGGCTGCTTCAGCTGAGGAACAGCGCCGGCGGGCTGAAGCTGACGCCGCCGCCGCCCTCGCGGAGGAACAGCGTCGGCGCGAGGAAGCCGAGGCCGCCGCTGCCGCAGCCGAGGAACACCGACGACGTGGTGAGGCCGAAGCCGCCGCGGCAGAGGAGCGCAGGCGGGTGGAAGCCGAGGCCAGGGCGAAGGCTGAGGCTGAGGCGGCTACCGCCGCTGCCGCTGCTGCTGCGGCCGCTGACCAGCTGCGCCGTCGGGAAGAGGCCGAGGCAGCTGCTGCGGCCGAAGCGGAGCGCGTGCGCAGGCTCGAAGAGGAGCGCCTGCGCGAGGCGGAGGAGAGGCGTCTGCGAGAGGTAGAGGAGCGCGTCCGTGAGCAAGAGGAGACGCGCCTTCGCGAACGAGAAGAGGAGCGCCTTCGCGAGCTCGAGCGCTCAACGCCATCAGCCTCTCCCGAGCCCGAGTACGCGGCACTCGACGACGATGACGACGGCGGGTCCAACTACAGCCACTCTACGAGCCAGAACCACGCAACAGCGCTCTCTTTGAGCGACGATCCGATGGACGATCTGGCGGCATTGCGTGCCGACCGCGCCCCGCGCCAAGGACCGCTGACCGAGTTTGACATCGGCACCGACCGCGCTCTGAATGGCCCCATGTCTCTCGAACACCTCCCCGTGTCGTCTTCGCAGGACAGCTTGAAGGAGGTAGCCGCGCTGCTCAACGTTGTCGACGCCAACCCCGAGGTCCTCTCCGATCCCTCGCTCGCCTCGCCGCGGCCGCCTGCGACAGAGCTGCTGGCCGGGCCTGAGGGGTCGACGCCGCTGTCTTCGGGGACGAGCCTTCTGGCAAGCCCATTTGTTGAGAAGAATGAGTCACGCCTCGCATCGCCTATCAACCTTCCTGGGCGAAGCTCGTCGCGCGGCCTCGCCGACTTCCCTGTCAGCCCCGCCGAGTCGTCCAGAGGAGCTTCCTCCGACGTGCCGACGCCCATCATCCACTCTCCAGCTCTTGCTCATCTCCGCGGCGCGACCACCAGTTCTGACCAGCGTGGCTCGGGTCAGGTCATGGAAGATCAACTGAACAACCTTGAGAAGAGTGAGCTCTCGACTGCCCGCCTTGCTGACAGCAGTGATGCGAGATCTGTCGCCAAGAGACATACAATTCAATCAGCAGTGGCCGTCACCCCCGACGTCGTCGTCGCCGCCACCACCTGTGCCCCCAAAGAGCCCAACAACATGGGTGACCGATCTCCCGCCTCGAGGCGCGTCTAGACTCCCTTATCTGCAGCAGCCAGATGAGGGAAAAACTCATGCCTTTGGTGCACGTTCAGTCTCGGAACCCACAAAGGGCTCGCACCCCTCGCAAGTTTCTTCCCCACCCCCGATCCCTTACCGCGACCCCAAGGCTCGACCAGGTCATGCGCAGCGCCCATCGGCCACCCTCTCAGCTGGTGGCTCCCCACTCGTTACCGCCTCTCCGCTCGACCCGCTCAGCCGCTTCCCTGGCGGGGTGCTTCCCGCAACAGCGTCCATTCCCTCCAACTCACCAGCAGCGCCACCGCGCCCGGCGCGCCCGCCCACGCCCGACCTTACCGGCCTGGAGATTGCGCCCCACCATCTGCCGCAAAACATGGCCGTGCGTGTGGAGAAGGGCACCTCGCCCCGGGAAAACCCCTCGCGCACGCCACGACCCAACTCGATCTCGCTCAAGGGCCTCAAGCGCCAGGTCAGCAAGACGGTGCTGCGGCCGCAGAGGACGGGTGGATCCGGCACGCACGACCCCGTCGGCCTGTTCCCGCGGCAGGCGGGTGATCTACCGCCGCCGTCGTCATTCGCGTCGATGCGCAATGACGCGTTCCACGGGCGCGAGGCCAGCGGCGCGAGCACGGACAGCGACGAGAGCTCGCTCCGCTCGCGCCTATTCAGCTTTGGGGCGCGGCGGCGGCGCGAGAGCGCCGACGAGCGCATCAGCCACATCTCGAGCCCCATCGCCGCGTCCCACAAACCCGTCACGCCCGCCGACCTCATTGCGCAGGCGCCGCCCGCCACCCTCGCCGCCCTGCCGTCGCTGACGGCTTCGGCGTCCGCCACGTCGCTGCATGAGCGCCCGGACTCGCTCAGCTCGCCGTCGCCCAGCTCGCCCCGCCATGTGCGCCGCAAGCCTGTCCCCTCTATCGAGGGCAAGGAGAGCCGCAGCAGCGCACACGGCAGCGACCTCGACCCCGTCCCCTCCCTCCCCTCCCTCCCCCTACGCACCACGGTCATTTGAACGCTACTGTAGGTTATAGTGCGGCTTGCAGATACATGCAACGTATAGTGTACACCAGTGTATGTACCACCTTGCAGTGATGTGTGTTGCGTGTTGCGGGAGTTGCGTTCATGTGTAGTTCGGCACCCTGGACATGGAGGGCCCTTGAGCGAGTTGAGAACCCTGCAACTGACATGTCCGACACCAGTCTCAGCATCCCTGCAAAGTACGAGTATGTATCATCCCATATCCAGTATACATGTACAGGCATAGGAGTGTAAGATTGTTCGTGTTTGGTGCGCAAACCCACTACCCCCTCCCTGCCCCCATCCCTCCGTACGTTTAGATGTAGATCGCAAGGGTGATCGGGTTGACGGAGAGGAAGTCGCCTTCGGTGAGCCACTTCTCCTCGATGAGGAAGTTGATGGGCATGGGCACAATGTGGCCCTTGACCCGTGACAGCAGGTCCTTGATCTCGTGCAGCGACAGCTCGGGGTTGGCGACGTGGCCGACCTTGACCCCCGCATTCTTCGAGACGTAGTCCCTGTACTGCGCCCAGCTGTGGATCATGTCGTTCGGCACGCTGCGGAATACGCGGTCGAACACGGCACGGTTCTGCCTGCCCGTCTCGAACATGAGGCGCTGGAACTCGACCGAAAGCGGGTCTGCGACAAGCAGATCAGACGGCGATCCCCAGTCGTACTCGTTCGGTGTCCCCACCATCTGCATGTTGGGCGTGGGCTGGTTCTCGCGCCCGAGTGGGGGCAGAGGGGGCTGCAACCCAAGGTGTTCTAGGCGTTAGCGAGGATGCTTGTACTGTAACCCACCGCGCATGAGTGCACGACGCCATGATGACGCGAGCTTGGTCGCCATGAACTTCTTGCCGCCCATTGTCGCCTCCACCATTTCAGTGTCCTCAATAACAACTGCAATCTCCGAGTCGTGATCACCGTTCTGGCTGCGGTCGTTCAGGTTGGCACTGCCAATAATAACGCGGCGGTCGTCCACAATCATAATCTTGCTGTGGATGTAGAGAAGCTGGGGTGAGCTTCGGTAACGGCTATCTCACCCACCTCAGTGACGATAGAGTCGCGCTCCTCCTGCTCAGTACCGAGCCACGGCTCCTGGTTGACCGAGACACCAGATTCGAGGGCATTTTGCCCAACTGTTGGTGGTGAGCGAAGCCCAACTTGACACTCACTGTTGTCGCTGACCGCCAGGTCCTCCCTAGGCGCGCCACTCTCAAACTTTTCAATGATAGCAATAGCCTGCGAGTCAGCATCGGGCGCTGGAGGCGAAGCTTACCTCGTCAACAGTCTTTGGCAGAGGAACTGCGTCTTGCGCGGTCTTCTTATCCTTGTTGGTCTCCTCAGCAGCAGTAAGCTGGTCGTGGGGCTTCTCGATGAACACAACCTCGCCGTCGTCTGTCTCCTCGCCTGGTTGCCCAACAAAGACACGAGCCATGGCAACTTGCGCCTCGTGGAAGCTGACGCCCGAGGCTGCCTCCATCTTTTGGATGTACCCCTTGGGCGCGTTGATACGGTCGTAGCTGCGGAGGTTCCAGAACGAGATGTACTCGTTACTGCGTGTTAACAGAGTAGTCGTGCGACAGGAAGCTCACGGGTCGAAGCCCGCCTCGCGGACCTTCTCGAAGATCGAGTGACCGCCGCGGTTGATTGAACGGTACTGCGCCTCCATGATGGCCTTAAGACCAGACTGCCCCTGGATATCACCTGGCTGTGGATTAGCTACGTTGCGCGCGGAGACTCACGAAGGCAGGGATCTCTGGAATGAAAACGAAGACCTTGAACGGACGGCCGGCCTTGGCAGCAGACACGATTCTCTCGACAATGGCGGCACCAATGAGGTTGGTGACGGGATTGCCTGTCTCAGTGGTGGTGATGCTGATGTTAGATACCACTGGGTTCTGCTGCGTAGCCTGCTCACACTGGTATGATCAGCTCCTAGTTCTCACAGTGCACTCACAGAACTGATTCTCAATGTAGATGCAGTGGTTCGCCTCTCGAATCATCGAAATGTACGCTTCTACGCTGTCAGCTTCTCCTCCAGTCCATTGTGGCCACGTACGCTGAATGCTGTCCTCGATAAGAGTGCCGTGACTCCAATCTGCGACGGAACGGACCACCTGCACACGGACACCACCTGCCACGGGCTCCTCATGCTGTTGGCGGGGAATCATGGACTTGAAAGTGGTCTGGGGGTGCATGGCCTCACGGCCAATCTAGCCGTTAGCTAACACCACTGAGTTGCGACGCACGTCCTTCAGCTCCGCGAGGTGGGGGTGGTCCTCACGGAATTGAGCGTCCTCCTTGGCTTCCTTGACAGCGTCTGGGTTGTAGTAGCTGTTCCACGGCTCAGGAAGCGTGAGCCAGTCCATACGGCTGTCGTGCTTGTACCTGACCGTTAGCGGTGTTACCTTGACAGCCGTACTTGATCTTCTTGACAAAATTCCAGCGCTGGCTGAAGTGAGCCACGAGGTCTTCCACAATGGGACCGCTGAGGGTGAGGGAGGTGTCATGCCAAGCTAGGAAGGTTAGCAATCCAGCTGGCACATAGCCAACTCACGCATACGCCCAGCCTCAAGGATGCAGAGCTCGTTGGAAGCATACTTGTCGACTGTCTGGAAGTCCATGATACGCGAATTGTTGTAGTCTAGCGGATGTCAGCTGTCTGTCGTCCGTCCTCAGGCACTCACCCTGTCCGGGGAACAGCGAGTTCTGGAACTGGGTTGGGTGCACATCCGCAATGGGGTGGTTGGGGGTATCCCATCGGCCCCAGCAGGCATCGAGGCCTCCCATGGCCGCCCATTTGCCGTCGACGACGCAGAGCTTCTCGTGATGCGAGAAGTAGTACACGAGCTCGCCCCCGGAGTGGTCTGGGTGACGCATGACGGCAATGTTGTCATGAAGATCCTCGAGAGCGTGCTGCGCAAGTCAGGCAAGCCCTTGGAACCTGCACATACCTTGGTGTGCTTTGAACCCAGCGACATTGAGGCGGTGACCTGAGGGCGTCAGCTGTGCCGGCTATTCTTTCAGTAGCATACCTCCTTGTAGACCTGAATATAGATCAAGACGCCCTGCTCCGCTTTGCGCTTGAGAAGTCTGTCGAGCCGCCACTCTGGGTAGTACGCTCCTGGCCGACGGAGCTGAGCTAGTCAGCGACCTTCCCTCCTCAGAGCTCCGAGCTCACCTGCAGCTCTGGCGACAGCCACCAATCGAGGATCATAATGGTCTGGAACGTCAGCGGAGTAAGTCGGATGCACGCACGTGCTGAGCCTTATCGATCAACTCAGATAGGGCCCAGAAGTAGTCTGGAAGTCAGCTGGGCGGCCATCGTGGGCGGCGTGTTGTCATCTGGACGCACCGTGGCCGTCAATGTGCCACTTGACGAGGTTGGCCTCGCGCTCTGGTGCAAAGGAGCGGAAGCGGTGACCGTCGCGGATCTTCTCGAGGGCGGCGTCTGCCTCTTTCTCATGTTCCTCGTCGTGGCGATGGTTGGGGTTCCAGGTAGTTGCGATGGAGACGCCGACGCGGGAGAGGCCACTTGCGAGGAGGTCAACCTTTTCGCGAATCTTGTTGATGTGGCGCCTGTGAGGGGCGTTGCTTGAGCCGTCATCGATTGGAGCGGCCATGATGAAGGAGAGATGATGATGATGATGAGAAGAAGAAGAAGAAGAAGAGAAAGAGGATGGAATGGGAGAAAGATGAGATCGTGAGAAGAGGGAGGGGAGGGAGATTTGTGTTGTTGGTGGGAAGGGGAGGATAGAAAGGAAGGTTGTCACAAAGGCAGGGCAATCGGTATGACGCCAGTGTCGGTTGCCAGCCTCACAAATCCCAGGGCCCTTGACTGCACCGATCCGACTGCCGATCTCTCTTCATAGGTTGTCGCTCTATTTTCGTACTCGGGCCATATCTCTCCGTAGCTCCGTAGTAATGCATCTTCTAGTTCTGGGATTTCTCTTCGTATCTGAGACTCCCTCTCCGGCGAAGGAGAGCGCTGTCGCAACATGCATTCACTCACTACTCCTCCCGCCAATTCGCCAAGTGGCTTGCCTTTGGCTTGTCATTTGCATTCCCTGCCAATTGCCCCCTTCGGCCGCCGGTAGTCGTCCCCGGTGAAACTCGGTGCCTGAACATGATCATCGATCGACAAGAGGATCAGGATGGGCACGTTTCTGAATTTGCTCCCGGCCGACAAAGCCCATTTTCAGAGATACACAAATTATACTTCCGTCGTCTATCACTCAATTTCGTCATAGAGCTCAAAGCGCGTCTGACATTAGAAAGACGCGTCTCACCAGACACCAACAAGGGCGCCCAAATGTTGACAGCCGGCATCATCATCATCATCATCATCAACAACAACTCTTGATCCCCCCATCCTCTTGGTCCTTTTAACTCAGTCCACATCCAGCCCGCCCCTCAGCCGCCGCCTCAACGCACATCGCGCAGGGCAGTCTGTCGACGGGCAAACTCACACACCACCCGCCCAGCCCTCTCGTCGCGCCCTACGCCATGCCCCTCCTCCTGCCTCCCGGCCAAGATCGCCGCCCCTCCGAACTCACCTATACGGACGGGTACAACTCCATTGTCTCGCGTGTCCGACGAAAGCGCGGCACAGGTTCCGGCGGCGTCGTCATCATCGCCGGCATCGACATGGTGAGCGACACCCACCTTACCTGCCCTCCACTAACATCAGGACGGCTTGCTAGCCTCGCGCATTCTCACATCCCTCTTCAAGCAAGACAATGTGCCATTCCAACTCGTGCCCGTTGGGGGTTACACTGACCTCGAACTCAAAGCTAGAGAAGCATTAAAGTCTGAAGATGTGAGCTTGCCGAGTTGCGACGATGATTAACATCAGTTGCACACTCTCATCCTGCTCTCGCTCGGCTCGATCCTCCCCCTCGCAAGCTTCTTCGAGCTTCCCCGCGGCGTTCATCTCCATGTCATGGACGCGCGTCGCCCTTGGAACTTGTCCAACCTCTTCGGTATCTCGCTCGACGTCGATGATGATGGGGAAGAAGCTGGTGAGGGCAAGATTTGGACATGGGGTGACGGTGACGAGGTCAAGCTCGACAATGTTAAGAAGAGTTGGGAGACACTGGAGGTGCGTATGGCGCAAACCGCCCTCCGGACAGAATCGGCTGACGGCTCAGTATGAGCCAGAGTCTGATTCCGACTCTGACTCCGATGAGGAAGATGACGAGGACGCCGCGGCGGACGAGGATGAGGAGCGGACTGAGAACGGTTCCGACGACGAAGATGGCGAAGACGGGGAAGCAACTGGTGACAACGACGGAAGTGGAACCCGTCCCCGCAAGCGCTCTCGCGAGTCGTCCACAAAACCTAACAAGAGGAGACGAGACGACGTAAAGGTAAGAGCATCTATACCTTCCCTCGTCTAGTGTCATGATTACTGAACCTTTAGCCACGAAAGATGCCGCGCGCAGTTCGAGAAGCGCACATCGAGCGTGTTAGCAGGTATTACGAGGCTGGAACGTCATACGGCATGAGCGTCGCGCAGACAATCTATTTGCTAGCCACGGAGCTGGAACGAGCAGACAACGATCTATTGTGGCTGGCGATTCTTGCAGTCACTCACCAGTACGTTTCGGCACAGATCGACCGCAAGCGGTACGACATGTTCCACGTAGCGTTGTCCGACGAGGTTGTGCGTCTCAACCCGCCCGTCACGAGCCGAGAGCCAGACGCCGACAATCGTAGGATAACGAAGAGCGACGAGCTACGCTTTGTGCTATTCCGCCACTGGAATCTCTATGATGCCATGCTCCACTCCAGCTACGTGGCCGGAAGAATGGGAATTTGGAGGGAACGAGGGCAGAAGAAGATCCGAGGATTACTCGCAAAGATGGGGTGAGCTAATGTTGTGTCATCAACGTCCACTGACACCCAGGTACTCCATGCAGCAATGTGTCCAGGCCTACGCCCACATGGACTTGAAGCTGAAGAAGGAGCTCCCGGAGAAACTCGACGCAATCGCACCAGAATATGGCCTGGTCGAGCTTGAGTATCCGTCGTTTGTCCGCGCGTTTGGCTTCGAAGTCGCTACCATGTCGGCAGCAGACGCTGTCGAGGGTCTCACAGCACTGCTCGAAGCTGCGACAGGGCTGCGCATCGAGGTGGAGGTAGAAGGTGGGCGAGGCGGCGGCGAGTGGTTTGGCTCTATGCGCACCTGGTCGATCGGGGGCGACTACAGCGTCATCGAGCGCGATAACGCGCCTACAGAGGAGGCGGACATCGAAATCGACAAGGAGGACCGGTCGAAACAGAGTCTCTCCGCCAACTTCTGGATCACGTACGACGCGTGTGGAGAGTGAGTCATTGCGGGTCTGGCGCAAGCCGAATCTGACGCCAGCATCGCCCTGCTCAAGAAGTCATTACCGCTCGCCAAGGCGCTGCACTGCGCCATTATCCGGCAGGGCTCGGCCATCCTCGACAAGGGTACGATCCGGCCACTGCACAAGTTCCGCTTCACTGCCGTCAAAGAGGGCCCGGACCTGCGCATCTTCAGCAAGCCGGCGGCGCTGGCACGCCTCGCCCTCTGGCTCATGGACGCGACGCGCGACAAGTGGACTGACCGGGACACGCGGAATGGGTATACGGTCACGTCGCTCCCTTTTGTGATTGCGGTACTGAACGAGGAGAAGCGCACATACCTTGTCGCCGGCGTGACGGGTGCGCCTGAGTTCGGAGATGTACGCAAGAAGTGAGTGACTGCAGCGGCGGTACTGACGGACAGCAAGTTCGGCCTTGCGTTCCAGAAAGCCGCGCAGGAGAGCCAAGTGGCCTGCAGTGAGCTGTTTGACACGAGCGTTATCGAGATTGCCGACGTCGACCTGCAGGGGTTCATGGAGGTGCTGGCTATGCGCAGCGTCACCATCTAGACATGTACACACTATTGCCATCCGTCACTTCTACGTTTACTTGTCCAATCTCTAACTCGCTGGAACTCTACGCGGAAGACATTTCAGATCTGAGGGGAGGGTCATTGCGCATTCGGCTGGAATGCAGCAGGGGGCGGGGGGACAGGAGGAGGGGCCTCGGCAGATGCGGGGGCCTCAGCGTGGTTGGGTGCGGTCTCAGACGGCAGGATGGCAGCAGCGCTCTGCTCTTGAAGAGATTTGGATTCCGTGTGCAGGGGCGCTGAACTGGAGGGCTCCGCGGCGTGTTCTGTTGGCGAGCCAGATGGTCCGGCCTGCGAGTCGGAATACCCCACCTGCGACCCAGAAGGACCCGCCTGCGATGCAGAGGGCCCGGCGGCGTGTGCGCCATTATCGCTATCTCTCGCGAGGACCTCGCCCATCTGATCCTTGGTGACGACGTCGAAATGCCCGGGCCTGGAATCAGCTACGGCAGACAGCCTACTCACCGGTAGAGGAGTGTGAGGGGCCTGCTCTCGTCGGCGGCGGCGGCGCCGCCAAACTCGACCCAGTTGATGACGTCGCTGCTGACCTCGGATCGGTCGAGGTACGCGACGCGGATGGGGACGGCGAGTGCGGCGGCAAGCGCCATGATTTGCGCGTGGTCGGCTTCTTTGCCGCACGGCTCGACCTCTTCGCGGCAGAACTGCTCGGGCGTCACGGGCTCGAGCGTGGCCGGCGAGAAGAGGAAGGGCGCAAAGTCGTCGGGGTGGGTGCGGATGTACGCGGCGGTCATGAGGCGCAGGGCGACGACGATCGAGTTGCTCTTCTCGGCGTCTTGCAGGACCTCGAGGATCGAGAACTCGGTCGGCTCGCTCCCGGCCGGCTGGGAGACAAAGGTCGAGATCACGCTGATCAGCGGCTCGACGAACTCGTCCACCAGATCCTGTTGGAAGCCGACAGACGCCATCATCGGCATCGTGTCGTGCACGGCTTTGAGGGCGCGCGAGGCGTCGTCGGTCCGCGACGGCGCGTAAAGAATGCGCAGGAGGTATGCGAGTGTAAAGGCTGCGGTGGGTTAGTATTCCGTTAGAGGTTGGGGAGAGGGAGAACCGACGTACATCGGTAAAAGCAGTCGCCGTCACCGCGCGCACGCCACACTTGGTCCCACCCGTTGTCTTGCAGCCACTCGAGCTTGCGGAGCACCTCGGCCGAGCCGTTGAGGTACTCGCCCTTGATGGCGAGGAGGTGGACGGGGCCGGTGATTAAAGGCTTGGCGTTAGCGGTGCGTGCGCAGCCGGAGGGCCCCAGATATCGAAATCGCCGAGTCACCGTCACTGGGCTGATGTTGTTCTGGCGGGACGCCATCCACGACACGTCACCGTTGTTCACAGCCGCAGCCCGCAGCCCACAGCCCGCAGCATACAGCCGCACAGCACAGAACCAAACCCACCTTGTTCATCACACTGGCATCCATGCCCTCCATGAGACGCATGATCTCCTGGTCCGTGAGGGTGGACAGGTCGGTCGTCTCGTCGATCTGGCGTTCGTACTTCATCCCTGCGGAGGCGGCGGCGAGTGCTGAGGCGTGGAAGTCTGAGCGGGGGGCGGGGGTCTGCGAGCCCGAGGCAGGCGTGTGGGGGCGCGAACGGCGCTTGTCCTTGGACGAGGAGGACTTGGTGGTGGGGGGCTTGGGCGGCGCGTCCTCGCGCTTGCCGAGGCCGATCTTGGAGAGGAAGCCCAGTGTGAATAGAGCCTGTCGGCGGCGTGGGAGGATGGAGAGGAGGAGAGTGATGAGAAGAAAGAAGAGAGGAGACAAGGATGAGGGATGGAGGGATGAGAGACTGGGCAGTGGTCATCGGCCGGCTGGGCATTCCGCAGCCAATGGGCCATCCACCTGTGCCTGGAGAGGCTGAGCTCACCGTACCCGTTGGCCGTTGGGTGGCAAACAGAACGCGTCGCCCTCCACGTGCACGTTTCATTAGGATTTGATAAGACAACAACCATTAGCAATCGCTATTAGCCGACCCACGCTGGATGACGGCCGCCTAACTACTGACGCTTGAACCGCTACTGACATGACGCCAACGACCTCCTCGCCAAAATGTCGACCATGACGGCACCCACGCTCTTCACTCTCCCCCCACATCTACAGGAGAGCATTGCCGCGCTCGTCGCTGCCGACGTTGCTCCGGCGCGCCTGCAAGACGACTTGCGCGCGGCTCTTGCCGCCGCCGGAATCGAGGAGATGGAGGAAAGCGATGTGGACGCAGAGCCCACCGACGGGCCCAGCAAGCCGGACGAGCCTTCGCCCGCCACTGCCGCCTCCGCGGGCTCCGATGCCGGGAGCGAGCCGGTCGATGTGAAACCACCGCGGCGCAAGCCGCCGACGATCGGCGGCGAGCTGCTGGACGCGCTCGCAGCATGGGCGGGGTCGGCGCGCGACCGCCTCGTCTCCGCGGGACTTGGTGAGTGCCTATTCGACGCAACTGACCCAGACCCCGCAGACTACAGCTTCATCGGCCTGCTGGCCGGCACGGAAGTGTACCTCCCGCCGCGACAGCGCGCGCTCGCCGCGGCGGCGGACAAGGCGCTGGCGGACCGCGAGAAGGTGGGTGTGAGCGGGACGCGCGCTGATCCAAGGCCAACCCCTTCCTTCCCACATACATGTCGCCGACCCCTCCTTCGCTCGGGTCAGAGTACCGCCAAATGTCGCGGCAGGTCGCGACGGTCTTGAATGTGCTGTTCTCGATCTTCGGCGTCGGCGGCGGCGTGTACTATGCCGCGCGGAGCGTGGGGTGGGCGCGCGAGCGCGCTATCTTGCTCGGTATCCTTGCTGGCGTGGTGGTTGGGATCGCGGATAGCGTGTTGCTCTGGATCTTCAAGGTCCGCCTCAAGAAGGACCGGAGGGATACTGCGCGACGCCGCGTGCGCTTGAACAAGGGCAGCGCGGGGATTCCGGGGAGCGCCAAGGTGCTTAGTCTGGGCGGCGAGGGGGAGGGTGAAGGGGAGGGGGAGAGCGAGGTGATTGCAGCGCTGGAAGAAGTCGATGTCACGTCGGCGTCCGCGTCCGCTTCGACGCCGGCGAAACGCACCCTCCGCCTCCGCCGCAAACCGCTCTCATAGTCGCATGGGATATGGAATAGTATATGCAGGGTATAGGGCTACAGTGTGGTCTAGAACGGCGCGGTGGGATACATGTTGGGCCGCTCCCAGCCATTCAGGCTTGTGGTTGGTGGTGGGGCGGGTGGTGCCCCGACGACGCCGGAGGCAGGGGTTGGTGTTGGGGGTGACGAGCCCCGTCGTGGCTTGTAAATCAGTATAATGATCATGGCCACGATTAGCAGGATGAGGAGCAGGATACACTTTCGCTTGCCCGTATTGCTCTGGTATCGACGCGCGACTTGTAGTTCCTGCACCGCATCGTCCATTTGCTTGGCCGTCTGCTGCACGTTGTACTCGACCGAGTCGAGCACCGTGCCCTGTTCGACGACTAGATTGCCGAGATCGCGGAACAGGTCGGCCAGCTCGCTGATCGACGAAGCGATCTGGGTAATCTCGTGTGTGCGCTGCTCGATGTCGAGCGCTACGCCGGACTGTGTTTGAGACTGGAGCTGCGCTTGCGACTTGGATCAGCTTGGAGCTCAATAAGCAGCTCCGCCCGCTGCCTCGGCGAATAATCGGAGACCACACCGCCCCGCATCCACACTCACCGCCTCCTCGTCCTCTGCCAGGGCATCGTACGAGTCTGTTCCGCGCAGCGTGATCGCGCCGCTCGCAGCCAAAAGGTCCTTGTTCTTGATCGAGTGACCTTGCAGTTCTGGTATCAGCCACCAACACCCTTCCCACCCCTCGACTCCCCCGCAACCCACTTTGCATGTACACGCGCTGCTTGACGCGAAAGTGCCCGCTCGCCTCTTGGATCTTGCGCGCGAGTCCGCGCTGCACATTCTTGGCCGTGACCTTCTCGGCGCGTGTCGCATCCTTCCCCGGCGCGATCGATGCGACGAGCTTGGACGCACGCCGAAAGTCCTGCCGTCAGTCACCGCTAGATAGCTTCGAGCAGACGCACGCGTGTAATGTCGCTCGTCTGTCGCTCAATCTCACGCTCCTCGGCGCTCCGGTCCGTGAACGCTGGCAGCACGTGCTTGGCGTGCAGCTTGTCCAACGCCGCGACTGGGGTCAGCGTTTGGATCGCGCGTGCACAAGCGCACCTTTGGCTGTGATGCGCTCGAGGATTTCTTCGACCTCGTCGCTCTTGTCCACCCTGGGATGAGCATTCCGCGCCACGTCAGAAGATTGGGCCAACGCCATCGACGAGCTTGAGCTTGAAGCATGCCGCTGTCGTCCATTAGCACGTACCATTTCGGCGGAAGGCCCTGCATGTCTACGCGCGCGTGCGCGAGCAGGCCGCCGCGCTCGTCGTCCTCTACGTCGACGGTGTCGCCATACTGTGCTGCTGCGAGGCGCGGGGCGCGCCCCGAGCCGAAGCTGCTGCTGTCCCGGACGGAGAGATAGAAGAGGGTGCGCGAGCGAGTGACGGGCCCGTCTGGAGTCTTGGACGAGGACGCGTGCGCGTGCGGCGCGTACGGGTTCATGGTGATGGTGTTTGTGGGGGATGGAGATCCGCAAGGCAGTGATATGACGGTAACGGCCGCCGTTGCCGCGCCGCGCGCCGTCATCCGTCGCCCGACCACGTGGGGGGATTACACCGGACATTTGTCCATTAGGTTGAATCTGAACTGGACTAATAAAAGGTGGGAGGGTGGGTGGAGGTCAAGCTGGCTATTATTATGTAATTGATTTCTTATTAGCCTCGGCATATCATTACCATTACGTTTGACCCTGGGTGGCTGCCCACATGGCCCGGTAAAGAGTGGCAACGCGGCCATCTCCTCTCCCTCTCCCGCTCTCCACGGCCCTTCTCCAACTTTCCTCGTCCTCTTCAATCACCTCTCTTCTTCCCACTCCTCCTCTCCTCTCCTCTGCAAAAGCGCAATCGCACACGTACAGCGCACCCAAGAGCACCGAAACCCCCTTTTTCCAACTCCCACCATGTCCAACTTCATGTCCGGCGGCGGCGTGGAGTGCGGCCCCACCAGCGCCCTCAAGGATGTGTCATCTCGCGTAGACCGCGACTACGGCCTCCAGCGTGTACGTCCTGCTTCTGATCGCTCGAACCACAGCTGATCCACCCAAAGGACCGCTACGGCGCGCAGCCCCAAGCCGGTCCCAGCGCCGGCCCCAGTGCAGTGAGATCTCATGCATCGCACGCCATCGCTCCGCCCACCCAGCCTGCTCCGGCGTGGTCGGACGAGCGGAGAACATGCTGACATTGCAGTTCCGCACTCGGCCTGGCGCACCAGCAGCACCTGCTACAGCCGCGCAGCCTTCTTTTGACCTCTCGCAGCTTCGCTCGCACCTCCCCGCCCATGCTGGGCCAGTGCAGGCGGGCCCCGCAATGCACATGCAGCCAGCACAGATGCAGCCAGCACAGGCACAAGCGCCCTCGCGCTGGGCAGAGGGCTTTGACGCCAAGGGCAAGTCGCGCGCCGTCGACGGCACATGGGGCAACGAGTTTGGGCGCCAGCAGTCGGCCTCGCCGGCACTGCAACAACCGCAGGCCGCACCCTGGCAGCGCGGCGGCCCGGCGTTTGCCGAACCCCGATACATGGGGAATATGGGTATGCCCATGATGTCCCAGCCCATGCCGATGTACCAGCCGCAACCTGTATTCCAGCAGGCGCCGCCGCTGATGCATCCTGCGCCGCAAAAGGCCGTGCCGCTGCCGCCGACCCAAGTGCCTCAGCAGCCGGCCGAGCAGCAGGCGCAGCCCCGACAGGCTGACCGGCCACAGGACGATCTTGCGCGCACGGCACAAGCCCTCGTCGAGCAACTCGACAAGGAGGAGCTTGGCCAGAACCAGAAGCTCGCCGAGAGCCAGTTCGTGCGTCTGCTCCGCGGACTAGGCGATGGATCTGTGGTTGTTCAGGAAGGCTCGGGTGCTGTGCAGGAGGGCACGGAAGTGAGCGAGGGCGCCAAGTTCGTCGACGCCAACGGCGGCGGGGACTGGGCGAGTGCTTTCCTCGGCAGTGGCGCGGCTCCGCAGACGACGCAGCAACCGTCAATGTCCACGGGCGATTTCCAGGTGCATACATCCGGCGGCGCGAGGGAGACCGGGAGGCCCTTCGCTGACTTCCAGACGGCGCTTACGATGAACGACGGTGTGATGGGCCAGCGGCGCAAGAGCGTGCACTTTGACGAGCCTGCCGTCGTGAGCGGCGTGCCGTCGACTCTGGCAGAGGCGCAGAATATGACGGCCACGGCCGTGCCTGCGGCCGCGACGTCATGGGAGGAGGACCTGAGCGACGACTTCAACGACGAAGCTTTCATGCAGTACAACGGGCGCATGCCGCAGGTTGCCGAGCAGACGGGGCAGACGACGTCAGACCGCGAGGGGTGGGACGAGCTCACGGCGCCCTGGTATGCCCAGGAGACGGAGCAGCAGCCGTACCTCTTCCACCAGGCGAACCCGTACGCGATGGGTGCACCGATCGTGCGCGAGCTGTCGCCGACGACGATGGTGAGCGCTAGTTTGTGAGGGGCTTGGGTGGCGCCGGCTACCCCGTTCCGCTCCGCACGCTCACGGCTATCCGTGAGCCGTGTGAGCCGGACATTTCTCTCGTGCCCTGAGCTCCACACCCGCATCCCCCATCTCTCCCCATGATTGTACTGACGCCAGGGTGTGCTCGAGCTGGAGGCTGCCGTGCAGCAGGAGCCGCGGGATGCGTCAGCATGGCTAGCGCTTGGCCTGAAGCAGCAGGAGAACGAGCGCGAGGACGCGGCGATCAGAGCGCTGCAACACGCGGTCGAGCTGCAGCCGGAGACGCGGCCAGCATGGCTGGCCCTCGCGGTGTCGTACACCAACGAGGGGAAGAACGACCGGGCGCACGACGCGCTAGAGCGGTGGATCGAGCTCACGCAGCCCGGCGCGGCGGGCGAGACGATGGGCGAGAGCCGGGAGGAGCGTGCGACGCGCATCGTAAACCGCCTGATCGACATTGCGCGGCAGCGGCCCGACGACTTGGACGTGGACGTGCAAGTAGCGCTGGGCGTGTTGTTCAACGCGTCCGAGGACTACGCAAAGGCCGAAGACTGCTTCACGGCGGCGCTCGAAGCCCGCCCCGACGACTGGGTGCTGTACAACCGCCTGGGCGCGACGCTGGCCAACTCGGGCCGCAGCCACGAAGCCATCAAGTACTACCACCGCGCGCTGGGCTTGCACCCCAACTTTGTGCGCGCACAGTTCAACCTCGGCATCTCGTACATCAACCTCGCGCAGTACCGGCTCGCGGCGCAGTGCATCCTCGACGCGATCCGCCTGCAGCACTCGGACGTGACGGAGGGGTATGGCGCCGACACGGCGGGCCAGAACACCAAGGGCGTGACGTCCGAGGCGCTGTGGACGACGCTGCGCATGGCGTGTCTGCATCTGCAGCGCCCGGACCTTGTGGCGCTTGCGAGCCACCAGGATTTGGGCGGGTTCCCGCTGGAGCTTTAGTGGCGGCGTAGGCTGTGGGCGTTGTCGAGCTGGAAGCGAGGCGCTAGACGGGGTAATCATGTACTAGTTGTGATGTAGTGTTGGATTGCGTTGCAGGCGTTGCAGGCGTTGCAGGCGTTGCGGACGTTGCGGACGTTGCAGGCGTTGCGGACGTTACAGGCGTCGTGGGTGTGGGCGCTAGGCTCATCGTCACGTGACGACCTCCACGCTCATTTCCGCCACCTCGCGCGCCACAACCTTTCCCACTCTCCATCTCCTATACGCCCACCTCCCCCCCGCCCCACCATGCTCTCCGTGCCGCGCTTCGTGCGCATCTTCCTCGTCGCGCTCGTGCTCGTGACTGTGCCGACCGTGTTCATCTTCTACCCCGCGACGCCGGAAGCGGACACGGGCGCCGTGTCGCTCGAACAGGGCGGGATAGATTCGGAGCACTGGCGCGCGCCGGGCGGGATGGGGGTGGGGGTGGGCGGGGGTGCGGGCGGGGGTGCGGGCGGG